CCTTCCTTCCTTCCTTCCTTCCTTCCTTCCTTCCTTCCTTCCGTCCTTTTTTGTGTGTTTGTTTAGCCTCTTACTAGCTTTAAATAGTAGTGCTACCCCAGGTTGCTGTGATGTTCAGCAATTATCGCTGACTTTTTTGGCGTGGTGGGAGACAAAACTTTGGGGAGAGAGTTTTTCACACAGAGTGAGCTCTGAGTCAGGTCAGTTACAGGCGAGCTCTCATGATAGACTTTGCAGCCAGCTTCCAGATAGGCCACATAGGGGCAGTTCTCTGGGAATGGGTTTTGGGAGAGCTCCAGCAGGATTCTTCTTGCTCAGTGGCTGCTAAGCTAATCGTTTTCACAGCTACCATAGTTGCAAGGCTGTTTTTTTTCTTTCTTTTTTTTTTAATATATCTTGATTGATTTCAGAGAGAGAGGAAAGGAGAGGGAGAGATAGAAACATCAATGATGAGAGAGTCGTTGATCAGCTGCCTCCTGCATGCCCCCCACTGGGGATGGAGCCCGCAACCCGGGCCTGTGCCCTGAGCGGGAATTGAACCCCGGTCTCCTGGATCCTAGGTCGATGCTCAACCGCTGAGCCACGCCCGGCAGGGCCAGCAGATATTTCTTAAACAGCTACCACGTATACGGCACTGTGGTGGATTTTGTTTGGGAGTGCCTTCAGTGTGCTATGAAGAATAANAAAGCTGTTGTTTTTCAAGGAGAGCACAAAACTGGGAATAGGAGAATGGGATTACAGTAAGTAAAAAATGCCACAAAATCCTTTATTTTTTAGATATTCAGCTATTTTTTTCTTAAATAAATACCCCTTGGATTTTTTGCAAGCTTTTAGATAATTTTCAAATAACTGAGAAGTTGACTTTGACATTAATTCCAGTGGCCTTTTTCTGTTTGTAGAGGAGTAGAATTCTGGAGGTCCTTAATCTGTCCTTCTGGAAGTGCTTAAATACCATTGTTCTTAATTTTTTTCTTAATTTTCCAATACCATGTCTCATAAAGGTTTGTTAATACTGTATATTGTATTTCTAAATCACTTTAATATAACCACGATGATCTAGGTCTCCTTAAAATTTTATAAACCTTTTTGTTGGATTTGTCTTTTATTTTTTTCTAACAGTACAGTATTGTTTTCTTAATCCATCTGGGCTGCTATAACATAATATCTTACACTGTATAGTTGATAAACAACAGAAATTTATTTCTCACCGTTCTGGAGGCTGAAAGTCCTAGATCAGCCAGCATGGTCAGGTGAGGGCCCTCCTCCTGGTTGCAGACCATGTATTCTCACATGGTGGAAGGGGCTAGGGAGCTCTGTGGGGATTCTTTTTTTATAAGAGCACTAATTCCATTCAGGAGGGCACTGTTCTCATGTCCTAATCACATTCCAAAGGCCTCATCTTCTAATTCTATCACATTGGGCATTAAGTTGAAACATAGGAGTTTTGGGGGTTCACAGACATTTACCCTATAGCAACTGGTTACTTTTCTTCTTTTTTTAGAAAGTGACATGTTCGTTCATTCCACATCAAGTTGGAGTCTTTAAAGTGAAGCAGTTGGTAGAGTTTATTGGCCCAGTGGCAGATAAAAATTTTCGGTCTTTATTGCTGAGACCTTTTCATCAAACACAGTTAGTTTTCAAGAGTGTCTGCAAACTTTCCAGTAAGAAAGTTGTGATGAAAATCAATCACGGTAAGCTATTGTGGACCCTTACCTTTTTTCTCCCTAGGTTAATATAGAATTATCTTAGTATGCTAATTGCTGAACTATATATATCAAATGTGATCTAAGCTAGTGGTTCTTACCTTTTGAATGCCTCAAAATCACCAAAAGGTCTGTTAAAATAGATATCCTTGGCCTACATCCCAGCATTGATTATTAAGTAGGTTATTGTTGGAGCCAAAGATTGGCATTTCTAACGTTCCCAGTAGATGCTGATGTTGCCATTTTGAGGATCACACTTTGAATACACTGGTTTAGTGATCTATGAAATTTATTGAATATTTTAATGGTTTTTCTATTTTATTCTTCTACTTTTTGTTTGAGTGTACAATATAAACTGTTTTTGACCATTTCATGAATATTCTTGTTGCTGTTGCTTCATCTAATCCTCAGTTACCTTTTATAAATCGAACCATGTGAAATTGCTGATATTCAGCTCTCTTTAACCTATACAAATTTGTTTCATGTAGGCCAACCCAGTCCTTCAAGTTAAAATGTTTATTTTTTTATGCATTCATTATTTTGCTACATTGCTTTGTGTCGGTCCATTTATTAAATGAATAATTTATATTTTCTGAATGTTTATTTAGGGATTTAGCTTTAATTTAAAACCAGTGGTCTAGTGTATTAATTAACTCATGGATGTTATTTGGAAAACTGAAATTAAAAAAATAATAATTTAAGCTTAATGTCCAATTCTATAAAAGGCATATCCCCTATCATCACTAATCCTACGGGACAGTTTGTGATCAAAGATTTGGCAAAACACAAGGAATATGCACCTGTTGCAATGCTTCAATCAACCATGACAACCATTCACAATCATCGCTCAAGGAAAGACTCAGTGAAGAATGCGCTGATCGCCTTTCCCAATGACCGAGCTGCAAGTATCAGGCCTGGAGGCCAGGGGAAATGTTTCAGGTAACGTGCTATATTAAAAACCTGACATTTTGAAAGAGGCAGTGACCAACGTGATATGCAGAGGTCTTACCATATACTGTTGTAACAAACTAATATTGGTAATAATCATGATGATGATAGTAATAAAATTTATTATCTCTTTTTTTCTCATTAGAGATGGTTGTTGAATTCTACTGTATTTGCTTTATCTCGCCTTTCATCACCTCTGCTCTCTACTTGCCAGGAAGCGAAAGGTTTATCAGATTATTCTTAAAATATGCTGTTGACAATTATAGAATAATAATAGATATAATCGCTTTTGGAGCTGTATCAAGTCTTCACAGTAGTCATGTTCATTAAGTTTGTCCGAGAGTTTGAATTTATCTAAGATTAAAAAAACCATATAAACCTTTAAAACTCAGGAAAACCAGCCATCCTCCTCTTCATCATCATCAACTTTGTTCCATCCCCTCGAAGTCAGGTTTCCAATAACCTTTCCCTCATTGAACTAAAACTTCCCTAATTAGGATCATAAGTGATGCTAAAACCTCAATTGAGATTTATCCAAACCTCAAGTTAATTACTTCCTTACTAACACTTAGAAGAAACCCAGCCTGCCTACATCTTTATCTGAGCCATCAGAGTAGGAATGGCTTTTCCACATTTGACACTGAAATGGGTTCTTTTCTGCCTGCTTATTTGCTACTAGTAGACTGTCGAAGCCTGATAATATCCCTCCTTTGGCTTTCTCTACTTGTCTGTACCTTTGGTGAGGCATTAAGCTCATTTAATTTTACAGCAATACCATTTGATTTTTGGCCATAATTGTTTTATTATTCACAATTGGAAAACTCTGGGTTTTCATATAGTCTATCTTATTATTTTATTTTACAATTCCATCCACATCAGCCTTTCTTTTTTATTTGACAAGTACCATAAAACACAGAAACATAAAAATCACTCAGATTCCATTTTAAATAAATATATAGAATACAAAAGGAAAATCGATCCCTCCCTGTGATTCATTGTACTCCATCCCACCCTGCAGAGGTAGCTGCAGAAAACAATTTTTTAATGTGTTTTTTTAAAATTCTTATGCTTAAATATATCTATATAGAGATGTAACATGTTAATTAATGTTAACATTTCATTTCTGTCTAAATCAATATTAATTAGATGATCTAAAAATGCCACAAGTTTTTTGAAGAAGGCTAAATATTTCCTATTCATTCCATGGCCATAATTATTTTTTTTTCAACTCACTGTTTTCTATACTAATAGAAATGCAGAATTTAGTCCAGTTATTTTCTGGCTAGCAATTAGTAACTTTAAGTAATGAAATTTTTTAGTATATTAAATTGTTGGTAATTATTGTTCCTATTTTATTTTTAATGCATTTTTACCTGTTCAAATTTTCAGAAGAAAATAAGGTAGGAATATTTGTCTAGTTTTTGTTTACTACAGTATGTCCTGTGCTTAGAATAGAGTCAGCCATATAGTAGGCACTCAGTAAATACTATTTAATAAATAAGTGAGTAAAAATGTTTTATTTACATAGTAATTTTTATCCCCTGTAATTTGAACATTAAAAAAAAATCACCTACTCAAAGCTGCAGAGGTATATGTTGAAGTCCAGTTTTTAAGGAGCTGATAAGCACTTAGATGTGTTAATAGCCAACTCTGTCACTTCAGGCAGCTCCTATAATGGTGTATCCCCTGCTGATAAGGGGGGGACTACTGTACTCTTTTCCAAGTCCCTCCTTTTCTTCTTGTTACAGAAATAGGAGCTGCACATATAAGAATTATTTCTAGATTCTAAAGGTGGTTAAGGTTCACAGAGCCAAAAAAGGAAATTTAAATAACTACCTTTGAATAACAAAGCATTTGTTTCTCTCTTATTCCCTCACTCTCTTAAAGACTAACTCAGTGAAAGCTGTCTCACTGTAAGCATTGAGGAATTGTTGAAAATAAGGAGAAATATTAGATTGAATTTCATTTGACTGTATGACTATAGAATTCCCCCATATCCAGGGGGTACGTTCCAAGACCCCCCAGTGGTTGCTTGAAACCACAGATAGTACCAAACTTTATAGGTACTGTGTATTTTTCCTATACACATATACCTATGATAGAGTTTAATTTATAAAAACACAGTAAGAGATTAACAACAATAACTAATAATAAAATAGAAATTATGACAATATACAGTACTGTAAT